AATATTTGCACATGAAGAGGTATAATGGCACAAAATTCAACTATCTAACCAATGTAATCTAACACTTAAGCAACAAAACTACAACAAATTTAATGTCTTCATTTTTACAAATAATTTACCCATAGCACAAAAATAAGAAGTCTCACAAATAACTGGTTATTAAGTTGTGTTTGCTAAGCATGATTAAATGAAATCAAATTTTAAAGGGATACAAGTGTCAATTTACCTTAGAATTTCTATTTCATAATAACACAGAAAACAAGTTTTACAAAAACTGTTTTTGTTTTTTGTTTTTTTTTAAGGAATTATGAATTGAAATAGCACATTTCAAATAAGTGCACAGTTGGACTATATATGTTATTAATATCTAATTTTATAATAATCAAACATAAAATAAGTTTAAACTAAGTTTATTTCTTGTTAAATATCTATGCTAAATGTAGGTCAGCATTATAATTTTTTTTTAAATCAATGTGTATTTTTGATAAAAATATTTTTCACTTTCTCTAAAGATCAGATAATTTTATATTACAGTTTCTTATGTGCTTTAATCAGATATCTTTTATCTAATTTGACAAATGTGATACCATTAGATTACTTAATATTTAAACAAAAAGCACCCATGAATAGTTTTAGAACTTTAATTTCTTTATGTGATAAAAACAAAACGATCTGAAACCTTTTCTCATTATGAGCAGAATATACTTAGCCAATAAAGTACATGGTTCCATTACCAAACATTTTGCTTGTAGCTTCTGCAATAAATGAACCAGGATACGATATGCTAAACATTATTTTCAGAAGGTTAATTAACAAACCCGTTTTAACTGCAATAACAAGGGTTGCCTAGATACCAAACACTTCAACTCTGATCAGCTTAATATCAATAAAACAATCTCAACAATATCTCAACTCAAAAATGAAATTGCCATCTTTCTTAAATGTTTACTGCTAATTATTCTTGCCATTTTAAATTTTAATCATTATTTCAAATTAAAAGCTTACAACTCATTTCAGTATTCTTTTATAATATAATCATATATTAGGTACCTTACTACGAAAAATTTTAAGATAAATATAATTTAAAATTAATTATTTTAGAATCTTTAAACAGCAAAATAAGTTATATTCACTATTGTAGTTAACTTCATGTATGACTATGCCCAGCAAACATTTGTAAATGTGATTAAGTTAAAGTAAATTAAGAACAATATTAAAAGTTAATCTTCCATATTACAGGTGTTGGATAAAATTTACAAACCTTTAAAAAATTTCATGTTAGATAAAATTATTAGATTACAATTACAACACATTAGAATTAAGAAAGGATATCTGTGTCAAAACAGTTAAAAAATAATAAAATAAGCTGGGCAATTAATAATGTATAATTTTAATTTAAAAATGGATAATTTTTAACTTTGTTGGAAGAATCTGTACATACTATTTCAAGGTGAGATGGTATAGGTGTATATACTGTTTGAAGGAGGTATAGATGAGGGAAGCTAGCCCAATTGCATAAAATAAAAAGAAATCATATTAGAGGATTACGTATATGTAAGGTATTATATAGTTAGAAATCGGAAAGATTAATTTCGGATAAATTTCACGGTAACTTCAGTTAAATTTATGTTCAAGTATAATAAAAGAATATTTTTGATTAATGACGGATCATATATCTACATTTTTTAAATCAACCATTATCCACCACATATTTTTACTGATAGTATAATAATCTTTTATAAGTTTCATCGTATCAACAGATAAATATATTAAATGAGCTGTTAAAACAAACAAGCATAAACTCAAACAAAAAAATAAATAAACCAATTATTTAAAAGTAATATTAATTCAAGAAGTTATAAATATTTATACGCTTACCTAAAACTGAATGCACGCATTTTCAAAAATGGCGTCGTTTCTAGTGATGTGCGAAAAACGAACGAATCGATATTTTAATCAACTCTTTCTTGTGAATCGATTCATCAAGTTCGTTTTTGAAAAAGAATCGATTCTTTTTTTTTTTTTTTTTTGACAATATTTTGTACTCTACACTTTATAAGCTTATTCAGAGTTAGTACTTATACTTACTAAACATCCGCATATGCATTTGATACAGCATTTCGTTTATACAATTGGAGCTTGATAAAATCCCAACTCAGTCGAATAGACACAGGTACATTCTCACTCGAGTATCATGTGAACGACAATCTGATTGGTTGAAAATATTTACATGCGAACAACTTGCCAATAAGTTACTCGTATGTGTGAGAGTTTTCGCAAGCGGAAAAATCGCATCCAATGAGAATGACCCCGATGTCAATGCTTGCGCACAACCGGTTTCCGGAGGTGATTAATAGAATGAACTCACTTGAAGGGTGAAGGGAATTGAAAATGCTATTAATGCAATGCATACTGCATTCTGATGCAGTGAAAGGTATGCATCACTCTCTTTTTTTTTCTTTTCATCTACGAAATTAATAAATTCTATTGATAAACAACAATTTAAAAATGGCAACAACAACTGAAAAGCTGTCTTCTCCAGTTTCGGTTCTTCCTTTCAAATAAAAAAGATATTAATGCTGTAAAGCTCAGATATTACTTTTCAGTCCTTTAATATTAAAGAGCGAATTTTTTCATTCATATGGTTAATTTTCGATTTATAAATTTCAGTAAATATGAAGTAAAGCAGAGTTTTATGTTATCGTTTATTCTATGCCAAGGAGCGAGAGCCATAGAAAATGAAACCGTTGCGCTGATTGGGTAATGAACTTACGTATGAATGCAAATCTCTGATTGGTTGAAAATGAGTTGAATGAGACAAAAAGAGTCGAGAATCGAATGAACGATCCTCTGATTGGTTAAAAATGAGCCGAATGCGAGAAAAAGAATCAAGAGTCGAATAAACGACTCAATGAACTGTTTGCCTATCTCTTAGCATTAAAAGAATCATAAAGCCAAATGAATCGATTCTTTTGAACTGTTTCCTATCCCTTAACATTGAAATCGGCTCAAAGAGTTGAATTGAACTTCTAAACGATTCATTTGAGTCGTTTCGTATCTCTTAACATTGATATCGGCTCAAAGAGTTGATTTGGATTTCCAATCAGTTCTTTTGAGTCGTTTTCCTATACTTTAACATTGCATTCGATTCACTGAACTGTTTAAATGATTCATTTGAGCGGTTTTATATCTTTTAACATTAAAAGAACTGTTTTGAGAAACGAATCGATTCTTTTCGCTATTATCTTTTTTTCTAAAATTAAAAGATGCCTTCAGAGGGATGGGGGTTATGAAAAGGGGCAAGTAACTAAAAATTTTCAGAAAAAAAGACAGGTTTTTTTTATTTATTTTTTTATTTATTTATTTTATTTATTTTTTTTAAGAAAAGATAAAAAAAAATATTTATTTTTTTAATGATTGAAAAACTGTTTATTGCGAAAAATGTGAGTATTTAGAGTAAATATTCTTTTACTGCAGGGGGGAGGGATATTTTCAATTATTTTATTTATTTTATTTTTTTTCCCCCTTTTCTATTTTTTTTTTGTTAGGAATACTTTTAGACAAACTTATTGAATATCAATGCATATCCTCTCATTTTTTCAAGTTTTAATTTTTTAAGTTTTAAAAGGCAATTGAACTATTTTTTTATTTTGTTTCACGTTATACAATTTGAATTTTTTTCATTATTATAAGTGAATTTAACGTTTTATTTTTTTACGAATATCTTTATTATTCATTATTGGTCTTTATATTAACAATTTTTTTTAAAAAAATTATTATTTTTTAATAAAATTGATGAATCAAACAAATATTAAAAAAAAAATAAAAATATTAAAATTCTAAAAAAATTATTAGCATTGCCTAGATTAGCAGTTCCTAAATGGTGTTTCGCGGAACCCTTGGGTTCCGTTTAAAATTACAGGGGCTCCACTAGTTAGTACTTTTTACAGCCACATTCAACTGGACCACCCAAGTGGAACATTCTGCTTTTGAACCCTAGAGCCCAAGATCTAGATTAATGGTTCCCAATTGGTGTTCCGGGTAGCCCTATGGTTCCGTGGAAAAGTTACAGCGGTTACACGAGATAGTACTTTTATAGCCACCCAAGTAGAACATTCAACTTCTGACCCCTAGAGTATAGGATCTAAAAGAGTGGTTCCCAAATGGTGTTCCATGGAACCCTAGAGTTCCGCCAAGAATTGCAAGGGTTTCGCTAATTGGTACTTTTTTTAGCCACATTCGGCTGACCACTTAACTGGAATATTCTGCTTCTGCACCCTAGAGCCCAAGATCTAAATTGATGGTCCCCAATTGGTGTTCCGGAAAGCTCAATGGTTCCGTGGAAAAGTTACAGCGGTTACACGAGATAGTACTTTTATAGCCACCCAAGTAGAACATTCAACTTCTGACCCCTAGAGTATAGGATCTAAAAGAGTGGTTCCCAAATGGTGTTCCATGGAACCCTAGAGTTCCGCCAAGAATTGCAAGGGTTTCGCTAATTGGTACTTTTTTTAGCCACATTCGGCTGACCGCTTAACTGGAATATTCTGCTTCTGCACCCTAGAGCCTAAGATCTAAATTAATAGTCCCCAATTGGTGTTCCGTAAAGCCCTATGGTTCCGTGGAAAGGTTACAGCGGCTACACGAGATAGTACTTTTATCAGGTGTTCCGCCGAAAGAACGTTAATTATTTAGAGTTCCATGGCAGAAAAATATTGAGAGCCCCTGACCTAGATCAACTAATTCAAATACTAAAACAGTCTAAACTAATTTGTACGACCACCTTTTATAAAGACTCTTCCATTATAACGACCATTAAAAAAAGAATCAAAGAATCGATTCATATAACCGTTCATTTTAGTGAATTGATTCTAAAGAATCGATTCATTTAAATGAATCGATTGGCACATCACTAGTCGTTTCGATGTAAACAACAGCCTATCCCCGCTTACAGGTGACGCTATGATGTCATTTGCTTACGCTTTACTTCCTGGAAATACCATAGTTGCAATCTATCGACTACTTCACTGCAAGAAGCCCTCAGGCAAAACTGTGCGATTTCTATGATTTAACATTAGGGGATTTCGCTGTCTTTAGATGTTTGTGAAAAACAAATCGTAGATCATTGAACTTCACAAAACCAATGATGTGGGTCAGTGTTTGTGTATTAATGATTTCTTGAATTAAATTTTACCATTCTTTTTGTTTCCTATACTTTAAATATTTTTAGGGGTTAGTGATTATTGTATCTGATTATTGCTTTTATTTCGTTTTTTCTTTTTAAATTGAAAAAATGTTAAAAGAAAATTTTGTCAAATATTTATAAATTTGTGGACAATTCTTATGGGGACTTTGTGAATGATTTTATATTTTAAAAATTCTTAATTTATTTTACAGAAGAACTTTCGAATTGAGTGCATATATGTTTCAAATCCTAACTATTAATTTTATTCAAAATAAATGTTGCTTTGTTTACATTGATATAGAAATTGAATTTTAGGAATTTCTATTTATTTATGTAATTTGCTATCACTTATAAAGATGTTACAATAAATGAAATAATTGTGGGTATTTTGCATAAATGTTCTGTGTTAAATATGTTAAGTGATTGAGAATTATTCTCTTTAACTGGTTCAGTTATATAGCACCCAGGAAGCTTCTGTAGCTGATGTGGAGTTATTTTCGTATTGGTACCTATTTGCGCCAACTACAATCACCAAAGAGGTTTTGAACTTGCAGAAATAAAAAATAAAAAAAAACATGTTGTGGTTTGCCCGCAATAATTATGAATTATATCCTTCTAGTTGCTACTCTTCTATGATGTTTTTTTTTTTATTTTTTTTAAAGTTTCTCATGTACTACTGCCTTAAAGTGGCCGAAACTAGACATTTATTTTTTGCTGATTTTTATTGTGAAATTCTTGCAAATACTGATCTTACCAGCTGCAATAGTAAATTGCGCTAATCACCAAAATGGTTGGTAGGTCTTAGTATCAATTAGACAGTGGTGTGCTAGTAACGAAAAAATAAATAAAAAATAGGGAAGGTGACAAATTTAATGTGCTAGTAATTTTTAGCTAAAATATTTTTAATTTGTTGCAAATATAAGAATAGGCTGAAGGATTTTGATGTATTACTGATTGCAGGTGAGGCAAACAAATTCTGATACGGAATATCTCCAGTAGGGAGGATTTTAGTATTGGTAATTATAGTAAAATAATCGCTCACCAAGTCTTGGCGACTTCCGTGCAGTTTTTCACTAGTAACTAAAAATTGGAAAAGTACAGATAGGGACCAACTCTAATGATAAAACTCGTAGCCACCCTTGGTTCTACATATTTATTTTGTAATTTTTAAAAGTTCAAAATCGCTATGGCACTTTAGTCATTGTAGTTAACCAATGCAGAAATATCTCATTCTAATTTAACTGGTTAAGGCAATAGAAAATTTAGAACTTCTTCAGAGATAGCTTCTTCAAATTCTGTATTTTGAGTTAATCACCTTATGTGATGTTTTTTTTATTTTTTTTTTTAAAGTTTTTTTATGTATCAATATCTCCTTTATGCAGTTCTCATTAATTTGTCAAAAAAATAAAATGTCGTTCCTGAAAGTAATGATGGTTTTGTAGGCATTGACACAAATAATTTTTCTCGAATAAATTTAAATAAATTCACTTATTTTGTCTCTCCTAAACAAAGCATAAAATGTTAATGATAAGTTTTGTGTCTGATGAGAAGATTAAAAGTTATCTGCCTTTAAACATACTATCCAAAAGGAAATAAAATTTCATTTCATACATATTTTGTCATACTTCTAGCTGAGATGCCAACTTGTTCCATTTTACTAACAAATATTTTCTAGTAATCGTAATATATTTAAGCTATTTTTAGTTTATTAAATTTGGTGTAAAGGTAGTTTTCCTCCACTATATGTGAAATACTGAAAAACTGTTATGAGGTTCCCGTTAATTGCAGTTTTCTTTTGAGGAGAATTTTTAAAAGGTAGCAAAATTTTCCAATATTCTAAAATATTTACTTTTATTTAGCTACCATCTTTATAGAATCTTTTGCTAAAAGTGGAACAGTTAACATTGTTAGCTTGGACAAAGTGAGTTTAAAATATAATCCTTTAATAAATAACTGTAACTTTTAAATAATTTTGTATTATCATGGATCAACAGACGAATGATGAATAGTTTGTGTTATTGGTGTCTATAGATGTATATGTTTATCAAAATTGATTGCTTTCTCAATAGTTGACAGTTATGCATAATTACTAGATTGATTACATTTACTGTAGCATACATAAATAATTGTAATTTGCTTTTCTTTATAGCTCTTTCATTGGTGACAATTTTTGCTGGCTGATGTTTTAGTGCATATCTGAGATCTGAGAAAAAATTTTAATGGTAATATTTTTTCTGCTCATATTCTGAAGCAAGAAAAATATTGAAAATTTTTCGTTCTTCTTTTAATCAGATCTTTAACTTGAATTCTAATGTAAATATTATAGGTAATGTATAGAACCAGTCTAAGTTATGGACTCCCCTTGCCACAAAGTCTGAGGCCGTCTGGTGCTATGGCACATTTTAGGGAGGGTAGCTTCACTTTAGGATTAATTCAACGGACAGAGGAAAGAGATTTCCTTTCTCCCACCGGCCCGAGCCAAAACCACTCCTAAACAGTGATCCCTCACTCCTACTTCAAATAGTCATACCTCGTTACCATGGTCACCGCCACAGGTTCAGGCGAATGTATGGAGGAGTTCTTATTTTAGACAAACTATAGCAATTTTAGACCTGAAAATAAGAGTTTTTTCTAATTAAATTTCAAATTTAAACTGAATATTTTATCAAAAAAAAATGATCTACAGTAGATGGTCAGTTTCTGTTTTGCCTTTTCTATTTGAAAATTAATGAAATTACTAAGTATCATAAGAGGTATTTTCAAAAAAAGTTTCAGCAATAAAAAAAAAAAAAAAATATTAGCATTATTTTTGACTCTTAAAACGGGACTAACCTTTATAGAATAAAGAAAATAATTACAATTTTAAAATGAGTTTTTGTCCTTTAAGTGAGCAAGTTCTTTAATTTGTAATCTTAGAATTAGCTGTATGCATAGATCATAAATTTATTCCACCAACTCTTTAAAATACAAGATGTTTGTTAACATCATCCAGATATTTCTATACGTTTTAAGTTTAATTTCTATAAATTTAAGTTTAAAGCTAATTGTATAGGTTAATTATATGTATTAAGGTAAAATATCATTTTAAAATGTTAAATGAAATTTATAGGTAGATGAGCAACTTATTTGATAATGATATATGACTTTTTTCAGAAACCAGACAACAAAAATAAAGATGGCTATTCTGAGCTGGACAATGAGATCAAAATTGAGAGTGAAACAAAAAATTCTTCATCATTACACATTATTTTCATAGTTTTAGTTATTGATCTCTTGGGTTTCACTGTAATTCTTCCTTTATTGCCTTCTATTTTCGACTACTATGCTGCAAATAAACAAGTAAATTTTTATTTACTATTTAGCACTATCTTTGCACATTTTTCTCACTCAGATTTTCTTTTTTTGTTACTGTTTTACATTCTTAAGTATATATGTTACCGTTAAAGTGTTGAAATCAGTTATTGTGCAGATTATTTGGCTAATAGCTAATGTACAGATTAACTACGGTGATCCAGTAAACTGTTAAAAAGTTATTTATTTATGAAATTACTTAGGCAATCTGCAAACTATCCAGATAATCTAAATATTACCTACTAGGCATTCGCTAAAGTGAAATTAGATCTTCAGGGGTCTGTCTAGGTTTTTCTGAGAGGTACCTATTTTGTGAAAATTTAGACATAATTTGTAAAAATTTGGGCATAATTTGTGAAAATTGAAAATTATATTAAAAAATGAACACAAAAATATGTATTTATCGTTTCTTACAGGATACAAAAATAAAATTTTAAGAAAAAATATTTTGTGAAACTACCGTTTTTCCTAAAGTTTAATTAGTGAAGATACAGCTAAACGGTATTAAATTTGGTGTAGACAAACCCCTGATCGTATAAGATCTTCAGGAAATACAGACAATGTTTCTGTATGCTTAAATTAATATGTTATTTATTTTTTGCGATCTAAAAAATGAACTTCTTACAATCAAAATATTAGTTTTTAGAATGGAAGAAACAGGTAATGTGCACATTTCTTAGGTGAAATATAGAATCTTTATTCCACACTTAAAAGGAGCATTTCAGTTAATCTGAAGACTAGCTAGGTAATATGCACATTAACGGCTCTTGAGTTTTAGCTGTAACACATACATGCATTAATACATTAATTTCCTTTGTGTTAAACTATTCCTTTTGTATCACATTGAAAATAGATAAGTTATGTGTAACTTTTTGAACTAAAACAAAATTATTAACCTCATATGAAAGGGTAAAATTTAAATTGGTTAATATGGAATTAGAAGACTATATTATTCTATAGCAATTAGTTATTGTATTTTACTGAAAAAGAATTTGTAATAAAAATTTTTTAATTTATTAAATGGTTTGATATTAAACTAATGTATTTAAAAAATAAATAAAAGTCCAATAAAATAACGGGAAAAAAGATTAGAAACTGTGTGAATTTGCTTTTATCTTGCAATATATGTACATATATAAATAATATTTATATTTTTCAAAAAATTGGGATAAAATATTATAAATATAATTAAGGTTTTAGTTACTTTAGTTTTACATATTAACCCGTTTTTAGCAACTTAATATGTGTTTTAAAAGAGAGATAAAGGAAAGTGTAGCTGTGTTATTTTTCTATTTTCTCTTCAAACAGAAATAATTAACTAAAATATGTTTGTCTAATCTATTTTACGTTCAAACATATTAGTTTCTAACAATTACTTAACAGATAAAATATTGTGCTATTTTACATATTCTAATAGCCAAGAGCAGTGAACTAACTAGTGTATCTAATCTTTGTATATGCAAGTTTTAAAATTTAAAATAAAATACTTTATAAAATTATCCGATTTCTTAAAGCAGCGGTTTCCAATTCTTTTTTCAGCTACTGAATTATAAATGATTAAAATTCTTTTGGTGGAAACATGACTTTTAAAAAAACATTTATTAGCATATGTAAATAAGCTAAGCAAAAAAAAAAAAAAANAAAAAAAAAAAAAAAAAAAAAAAAAAAAAAAAAAAAAAAAAAAAAAAAAGCTACAAATTAATTTAGAAGCAATTTATGTGGAGAATGAAATTTTATCATTGTTTCATCAATAAAGTCTTAAAATTAGGTTTTGTGTAAGGCTGTTAAATTAGCGAGTCTGTAGCGCCTTTTAGTTTAATTGCAATCTTTTAAACGTTTGTTTTTATTAGTATTTTTTAATCAGTTGAACTTTGTTTAGGATTATCTATATCATTGGATGGAGGAAAAAGTACAATATGTTCAAAATATGTTGGGATCTCCAACTTCCTTCAATAAAGTCTTATTTGCAGGTTTGTCTCTCTTATGTATCACTTGCTTACATTAAACTCTAGTATATATTTTTCTACAATTTAGTTTTTTAGTTTTTACTACAATTATTTTAGTTTGTAAGCTGTTCTTATGAATTCTGATTCTTATCCAGATGTAGATATGACTATCATTGCATATAGAATGAACTTTGTTGTTTGAGACAAATGTTGCTCAAAATGGAATTCCGAGTAAAATTGAAATTTTTTTCCAGAAGTACAGTGCTTTATTTTTTAGTTGCAATAACTTTTTCAAAATATTATTAGAAAGTAATATTCCTATTTTGTTGCAATTTTTTGATAATATTTTTGATAAAGAAAAAATTGATTTTACACAATTCTTTAATAAGCACTTATGTTAAAAATAATATAAATCAAAGTATAATGAAATAGTAATAGTTTACAATCATAATTTGTAAAGCAATAAATTTTTTTTTGCATAAAAAATTTCTCACGTGAGAAAAATTTTCCCATGGCTTTTATAATCTTACAGTATGAATTCTTTAATGTTTAAAATGTTGGTAACATTCATTTTTGCTAAGTACTAGAATTGCATTTAATGTTTTGCAACAAAACTTGATAATTAGAAATGTTCTGTGAGTATTGTTGAATATAAACAAATAGCAAGTTTTTATTAGCAAAATTACTACCAGTTTTTTTTTTAATGATGAATGCAGTTTTGCATTCTAAAATATAAAAAAAAAGTGTTCGAAATTAGTAATGAACAATTTTTACCTTATGGAATAAAAATTACTACAATGTTTTATTCCAACTTGTATACAAATTGTTCTACAATGGCCTTGATTTTTCTGTGATTTATGTCGCAGTTTTGAACACTTTCTGTTTATTATAAAAAAAGTGTGTGTTTTTCTTCAGGAATACACATAGTTTTCCACTAGTTTTTTATACAGTTATCCTACGAATTTCAACATGTTTTTTTATAATCCTGATATTTTGATATGATATTTTGACACACTAATTTCGAGTTGTGCTATTGAGCAATTTTTTCTTTTTTATGTGCTCAATTTGTTGTGATGAAATTGTAAACTATTAGTCTTGTTGTTTATATTTTCAACTGTTCTTATGTTGCATTTCTTCAAGATTTTTAAAATTCCAACGTTTTCAATAACGAATTCCGAATAGTTTTTTACTTCTATGTGATACTCCATTTTCAATGAAACATGGTAAATTCCTCTGGTCTTTTGAATTATTTTTCACCTCTTATTTGTAAAGATTTTATTTCAAATCCTACTGTGTTCAATATTAAAATAGTATTGCAAGTAATTACTTTTTAACTCACTTGATTTGCGATGATTTCATTCTAAATCCACATGGCTTTGTGGATTATTTTTTCAGCAGTTATTGCTACAGATTTCTAATTTTTAAATATGATATTATCAATTGTATTTTAAAAATATGATAATTTTAGTATACATGAATTTTGCATCGTCCATCTAATTTAAAGTTTATTGAGCAATTTTCTTTGTCACAAGACGAAAAAAGAAAAAGTGTTCAGATTTTCGAGATTTTACCAAACATAAATTTTTTTCTTTTTAGCTTTAAATACAACAGTGCTCAAACGATGAAATACTTTATTCTATTTCGCTAAACTTATAACCTTTTTTAATTATTTGAGTTTGTATAAAAATTTATTCTTAATTATAAAGTATAAAGCACAGTGGACTGATCGTTAAGACACGGTTCCCAGCAGATTACCGAAGTCAAGCATCACTGGCTGCGGTCAGTGTGCGGGTGGGTGACCACTTGGATCAGTCTGCGTAGGGACCGAGGGTGTGCGGTATTGGTCCTCATTAAACTGTGCTACCGTAAAGTGCTCGACTTCGCGCGCAGGTCGTCGGGCTACCGAAGCGGGGGTGCCATCCCCTCCGCAGAGGATCAAAATTGTGATGGCATGTCTTCGGATCATCCTCCGGGATGTTTCCCAGACCGTCGCCAATAGCCCATTGTGCAGCTCTAGTGCGACGTAAATTAACAACAACAACAACAAAAATTTTAATTTGCCTTTTTGTAAGTTAGTCAAAACACATTTATCTTAGCACTACACAAAACTACCTCTATTAAAAAACAACCTCTTTGAAAAAGGAAAAACATCAATTATGAATTATTGCTATTGCAAAACATTATTGTAAACATTGTCATCTCAATTGTGGTAATCTTCAACTCCAGAATGTGTATGTGAAAAGGTTAAACATATTTTCTGTATTAATTTGATTCATATCACTTGTTCCTGCAGTATTATTATAGTTTTTATTGTTTTTTAAAAGTCAAATTTTGTTTTTTATTTAAAGGCCTTCTAGGCTCAGCATTTTCTGGACTTCAGTTTCTTGTTGCACCAATATTTGGATCACTTTCAGATGTATATGGACGTAAACCAATCATCATTTTATCAATGGTAGGTCAGTGTTACAGTATAGTTATGTGTTGATTGTATGTTTAATGTATATTGTAGAGTGTATCTTTTAAGGGGCTGTTGTAAACATTTTCTTAGGGAAAGGAGAGGGGTGCAACCAAAAAAAAGTAGTTGTAATATTTTGAAAGATTATGGAGAAATATATTTTGTTTTCATTTCTGAAAAATATTTTTACTTCTGTGCTTTAGACATTTTTTCAAAGCCGCTTTAATAATTTAAATTAAGCTTCAAATACTAACAAAGTTTGAACAAAAGTTAAAATTTTAAACTTTATAATTCACAAAATTAATAAAAAGCATGCTTTATTTAAATTTTTTGAAATAAATATGTTATTAGCACAAAAGTTAAAAATTAATTTTTAAAATTATATTTTTGCTGTATTTTTAACTCTTGTGTTTAGTGTGTGAATCAGAGTAGTTTTAATGTAGCATGTATTCATAATTAAAATAAAGATAACATTTAAAGGAAAAAAATATAATTTTTTATTTATTGGATTTTCAGGGAGTGTTCAACTCATGTACTGCCATGCTTATTTGTAAAGCCTAAGAGCTGTAAAAATAAATAAAATAATTAAAAATGGTAAAGGTGGTTTTTGGTAATGCTTATTTATGATGGCGACAATGGAGGAGGACTCACCTCCCAATGAGGTGACCGAGTTTTGATGCAGATTCTGCATCGACCAAAGTGTTGATGTAAAATACTCTCAGGAGTGGACGAATCATGTGATACCTTTTACCATTCAGTTATCTGGTTGAACAGGTTTTCGTGGTTTTCCTCACCATATAAGGCAAATAGGGTTAGTTTAATCAGGAAGTCTTCACCGGATTCTAGTTTGTCCTAATGCTTGATGTAGGAGTTAATTTGTCTTCTGGGCTTAACTCAAATTTAAAAGGTTATGGTGTTGAACATTGATAGTCCTAAACCTGAAAATAAGTCTGCTGTTTAATGACGGTTATAAAATAAAATAAAATTAAATTAAAAAAAATGCTTACATAAGACACTACATTCCTATTCCCTTTATCTTTAAAAAGTGCCTTTGTGAAATATAGTTAAATTAGTGAGATATAGTTAAATTAAAAAAAAGTATAAGCATAAATGTAAACATAATGGGGATTTGCATTTATTTTAAGACAAAGGGAGAGGTTTAACGTTAAAGTAAAGCATGTTTATGTGTTTCAAAGCAGTTCTTTATGCAGTCGAACCTTGATACCACAAACTCGAATGAGAAAAAGGCAAATTAGATTTTTATAGTGTTTTGATTCGTGCACACTGTTGATATAAGTTATTGCACACTGTAATAAATTATTAATAAAATAAAATAAAATTATTAAATAGGGATAAATTATTGTTAAATAAAGATAAATTATTTAAGTAACTGTTAAATAAAGATAAATTATTTAGGTTACTGTTAAATAAAGATAAATTATTAGTTTTGAAAATTATTGTATCATAGAATAGAAGCTAGCTAATTTCTTTTTAATTTGTGTGTTCCTTTTTTTAAAAATTTTCTCTGTGTATATTTTTATTTGTTTCTATAAAAAAAAAACTTATTGTCTCGTTATTATTACTAATACCTTGTAAAAGTAAAACAATAAATAATGAATAATGTGTAGAGTGATTGTTAAGTAAAAAAAAAAAAAATGGAATATAAATAGGAGTTGAGAATTAAAATATGAATTTTCCCATTTATGTTGCCTTTTCTTCTAATTTGCTGTTTTTGCTTTTTTTTTAATAACCATTATTAAGTCTATCATATTTCTTTAATAATATTTTTTATGCTCCACTTTTATAGTTAAGTTTTTTTTTCTTTTGTGAGCAATTATTTAATTTTGATATTGTGTGTTTCTTTCTTTCTTTTTTCTTTAATAAACTTATTATTATAACTGATACCTTGTAAAAATAAAACAATAAATAAACAACATAACAATGAATAATTTGATTTTGATAATTTCTTGTTTTCATCAGTTTTTTTATTATGACGTGACACTTTTAACATAAAACTTGTTTGTATGAAAAACTGAAATTTTTGACACTCAAATATCCAGAATTTTGTCTTTCTGGAATTTGCCAATTCCTACTTATTTTGGATAGTCAAATTTTATACACATTATTACTCTTTTGTAATTGTTTTTATTAACCATAATTTATTTTTCTATTTAAAATTATACTGTTATTCACATATTTTTTTCTTCTTCCCCAGATTGGTGTTGGAATTTCACACGCTGTTTGGTGCGTTTCAAATAGTTTTTATATATTTATTATTGCAAGAATAATTGGAGGCTTAAGCCGGGCAAATATTTCGCTTTCCACGGCTATTGTCACTGATGTTTGTTCAAAGCAAAAACGAGGCAGAGGAATGGTAAGCATTTTTGATTTCATTTTTCTTAGTCTTTTTTTACATTAATAAATATTTTCTGCTTAAAATTATCGTTAGGTAAACAAATTTTCTTAATAAATGCAAAGAAATTTTGATTCGTGCAATTAGTACCAGTGATTAAAATTATTATTTAAATATATTTTTTGCTTAAATTAATCTTTGGCCAAACAATTTTTTTTAAATCAATATAAAGAGTTTTTGGAATCTTGCATTTAAGTTCCTGTGATTGTTCTTGTTATTATAATATTATTAAAAATATTATTAAAATATTATTTATTTACTTAAAATTATCTTTGGGAAAAATTTTTTCCTAAATCACTGCAAAGAGTTTTTGATTCTTGCAATTTAATTAGTTTCTGTGATTGTTCTTATTATTATTATGTGATTGTTCTTATTATTGCTAAAAAGTTATTAAGAAAAATTTTTCTTCTTCAATTTTTACTATTAGTTCCAGTGATTGAGGTATTATTAAGAAATATTATTTTATAACTACCTTTTTGTCAACAAGTTAGTTAAGTCATTGCAAAGGGTGTTCGATTCACTCTATTAGTTCTAGAGTTTTATAAAATTAGGTTGAAAGTAGAAATAACTACAAGAAGTTGCCTGTCATATTTAACATCCTGTTATGTTTCCATAATGTTAACATTTTCATTTTTACATAAACAGTATTTACATGGTATAACAACATGGTACAATAACAGTTATATTTACTTGGTATAACAACAGTTCTTATTCTTTAAAGAGTTATTTAGACTTGAATCCTTTCTTCTTTTTTTTAAAGTTCTTTTTAAAACAGATTAAAATCTTGTTTATATTTTATGGAATTTCTTATAAAAAAAATTTTGTTACACACTTTTAGAATAAGTTTAATTTTAGGCAAAATGAAATATTTTTCAATGAAAGATTTTTGATTTTATGTCTTATTTCTACAAACCTTACTTATCACATGCCAAATAATTATAGTTAAATATTAAATTATTTTAAACTTTCCTTAGAAATTAATTTTTTTCCATAGGTCTCAGTTTTTTTATCTATTCAAATATGTTGGGAGGAGAGTAGTGTCAATCAATACATATATCCCTATTGTTTATGGGCTTTGACAATTTGACAAATAAAAAATCTCAGACCAAGTTATTGCATTATAAAATAGAAGTCAACTAATTTCTTTTTAATTTGTATGTTCACTTCTTTTTGTCTTCCTCTTTAGTCATACAATGGATCAGTTTAAAAAAAAGTGGGGTATTTCAGATTTGACAATAGTTCATTAACCTTTATATCAAGAAATGTGCTCCTGTATATGTTACCCTGAAATTCATTGAATGTTAACTTTTTCTGTAAAAATCTCGTTGATAAATGTTCAAAATTCAGTCCTTAATATCATTATTTTGTTCTTACATCAGAAATTCTTGGCATGCACCAGTGAATGTTGATAGAAAAGGTACATTATTTGATATTGAATATCAATTTTTTTGCTGGTGTAAGTGAAAAACAATGATATTTAACAGAAATATTTCATTCAGCATATACTTTTAGTCAGGGCTCGAAAAAACTCAGAAATTTTACCCGTCCCCGAGGACGGCTTGTCCAACAATGTACCCGTCCTCCTTTGAAACTAACCCGTCGCTTCTAAATAAATAAAAATATAATTTTCTCTTATTCATTACAAACATTTATATAAATTGCACAATGAATTAGTAGTTACTAGGATTACATTATACAGTAATACGCATTACATTAGTATATACTAGGTTACTAATAGCAACCTAGTATTTCTTTTATGAAATAATTTATTTCTTTTATGAGATAATTTAAATGACAAAGGTCAAGTTATCTGGAATGCCAATTTATCCGAGGGTACTGCGTTTATTAAAAGAAGCAAATATGACGTTTGCCAGTTCCACAACCAAGCCAATGATTTACTGAGGTTTCTTCACAGAAATCTGAAAGGGGTTTTCCATTTAGGTAGATGTTCATAATTGCGTTTATAACGCTACTTGTTTAAGGTACGTAATGTGTTTTTTTGTAAGTTCAATGCTGAAAAGCCCCTTTCAACCACTGCAGTACTCCCAGACAGAGAAAACATCAATTCTTCCATACGCAGTATGTTGCTGTATATCTAGATTAGAGGGTCATTTTAGAAGTGAGGAGCTAGACTTTTGTAGGATAACAAAAATTGAGAAAATATCACGAACGTTAGCGGGAAAATGGCCGTCTGCACGGACGTCAGATTCGAGATATTCGTTGTCCGCGGGGAATTTTTGACCGCCAAGGACGGGCGGTTTTTCGAGTCCTGCTTTTAGTATACGTTGAATCTTTTTGCTGGTGTAAGAGGGAAATAATTATATTTAACTAAAATATTTTTTTAACTTATACCTTCAATGCATGTTGTCAACATTTGAATGAATGTTAATATTTCCCTCTGTCAGAGAAAAATGATAAGATTTAACGAAATTTTTTATTCAACTTAAACTTTCAGTGTATGCTGAATTTTAATGTTTGCTAGTATAAGAGAGAAATAATAATATTTATTTAAAATATTTTTATCAACTTACACCTTCAATGCATGTTGTCAATATTTGAATGAATGAGTGTTAATTATTTACCTCTGTAAGAGAAAAATGATATTTAAAGAAAATATTTTATTCAACATTTGCTGGTGTAAGAGATAAATAATGATATTTAACAACTTTTTTTTGTTCAATATACACCTTCAGGGCATGTTGAATGTCAACATTAGCTGATGTAAAAAATATGAGTAAATTTAATAAATATTTTTGAACTTTCATGATACCTGTGAATGTGTGGTATTTGTCAACATGTACTAATTTTAGTCATTTACAGTAACATATGCTTTTGATTTATAGTTATGATGCTAATTTTTTGTTTAATATTCTATACTTAGGCTTTAATTGGAATTGCTTTTGCAATTGGATTTATCATTGGCCCTATGATAGGAGCTGTATTTGCAACAAGGGCTGTCCAATCCAAACAAGTGTTTTTCGTAGCTCCTGCTGTTTTTGCCCTGGTCATGACTGTTATTGATATTGTTATTCTTATATTCAAGTTTAAAGAATCTCTGCCAATAGAGAAGAGAGTACGTAAGTTTAAATATTATTGTTATGAACCTCATAAAAAAAATTCTTTTCTCCTTTAAATACTGAATATCCAATTGCCCAGATCTTATCACTCTGTTATTAATCCAGGTAATTGCAGTTTCGAAAGTATTTCAAAAAATACATTCATTCTTTTATTATTTTATGAACATTTTAATGAATTTTACAGTTGGTGAGAAATTAGTCTCTAAGCTGAAATATTTTCTTTTTCTTACTGTACATAGGCACATAAATTACCAAACTTTTATCCTATTATAAGATACAAGTTTCAGATTAAAAAAAATTGAGTTAATATTTGTTATAATATTTGTCAGGTACTTTTTAAATTACATGATTTGATTGCTGATTAAGCTTTATCTTTTAGATTAGTATCATGAAATGAGGGTATGTTTTACATTTAATGTTTCATTTTCTACAGTATTTTTAGGATTATTATTTAATGTAAATCGGATTGCAATTCTTCTATCCTGTTGTTAACACAATATTTTAAGATACAAATATTTTAGACTTGTTGAATTTTAACTTACTTATTATTGTATATTTTTATGTATAGTAGTATTTTTCTTCTTCTGCATGTAAGAAATATAAACTTTCATTTTATTGTTTTTAAGCTTTTTATATATAGTAGTGTTTTTCTTCTTCTGCATCTAAGAAATAAAAACTTTCATTTTATTGTTTTTAAACTTTAGTTTTATTTTTTTATCTCATCAATCTTTACTCCATTGCAGTGTTTTTTTTTGTTATTGTCTTATTTTTTTATGGGGTCTACTTGTCTACCTTAAAATTTTTTTCTCTCATAGATTTTATACTTCTTCAATAGAATCCACTTATAACAGATTCCTGATTTAATGAGCATAGCTGCCAACTCTTTCGGTTTCCCTGGAAGATTTTATTTTCATATTTAAAGAAATAGCGAAACTCATGTTATTCCGTTAAACTTTTCAAATAATATAAATAATTATAAATGAGTTTGACCACCACTATATATAAATAATTACAACAAATATATAAAAGCATAGTTTTATTTTGTGCATAAATTTTTTTTTGTACTGACCTACAATTCGAATTCAGTGAGTAACCAATTTTAACAAGCATTTTTCTGTTTCCTGAGTCCCGCATTATATGTGGGTCCTACTGTATTTACATTATTAATGTTTATTTTCTATTTTTATTTTTGTATATTTAATTTATATTTACATCTTGATATTTTCAGGCTTCTTCAGTAGGTCATAGTTTATCAGAAGCTTATCGATTCATTTACCCACCTTCTTTGTTTTTGTTTAGTCCAGTTGTTGACATTAAAAAAGAAGGTATGCAAGCATGTTTTTTAAACTTTATGCACTTTTGTTCTTGAGCTCTTGTACAGTTAATTGTTTTAACATGCTTTGAAATTTCTCTATATTTTGTATTAGTAATTGAGAAATGTAATAGTAAATAAATGCACAATGAAAATACATAAAGAAAGGAATGTAAGAGAATTTGAGAAATTTTAATTGTCCCTATTTTAATAATTATTTTCATTACAAAATGATAATTAGTATAAATGTTAAGTAGTAAATTTTTAATACTAATAATTGAAAGATATTCATGGAATGTATTTCCAAGTAATAAATACAGTTGAAGATTTTCTTAACACAAGCTTTGAAACAAGGTTTTGCATTTTTTAGAATTTTTTATGATGTAAATAATTTCACATATCTTTAAACTTACTTACTGAACATGGCAATAATAGTCTGGAGAAAATCAGTCTTAAAATACTTTAATACTTAATACTGTATTTAATGCTTAAATACAAATACTTAAAAACAGAAATAAACACTTAATTTTTTACAATTTAAGTATTTATTATTTGCAGAAAAAAATTGAAATTATTCTGGAGCATTAGAACAAATTACAAAAAAGAAAAAAAATTGTCAATTTTTATTTGTGTATCTTTTGAAATAGTTACCTCTAAGCCATACCTGCCAAGTCTTCTGTTTTTTAATGAAGAATCCTGTATTTTACAACTATCTCTTGTTTACCTCTGTATTCAAATTTCTCTGTATTTGTTGAAGAAATTTTTAAAAAATATATTTGCTGATAAAATAATTGATGATGGCAAAAATACTTCTCTTATTCTTCAGCAGATGGTGCTATTATCAGGCAGTATGTTGAGTGTTTATATTTTAAGTAATTATAAATAATGCTTTAAAAAAAATCTTATTTAGAGATTAAGAATTATATACATAATTTTTACTTCACTAACTGTAAGTACTTATAATATTTCAAATTTTTAATTTCTCTTTTTGACTTACATGATTATGCATGATGTATCAAAACTTTACTTGTAGCCTAAAATATGTCACTAGTAAAATCTCTGTTATTTTATTTCTCCAATGTTGGCAGGTATATCTAAGCAAATAATTAAGCAAATAATATAAAAAGTTAATAGTTCTTGCTTAGTTACTGAAACTTCTTAATTGCAATTTTTATTGCTGACACCTACAAAATTAATGTGATTTATGGGGTATTGCAATTTATAGAATTGTGTTATGTAGATCTTCTACTGTAATAAAGTCTTCTACTGTAATAAAGTTTTAGAAACAATTGAATCTCGTTTAACCAAAAAGTCACAATTTATTTACTGTTTTAATACCTTTTCTTTACCAATACAGATATGAATTGCACGCAAGGAATTCTAGTCACCAATTTGATGAATATATGTTTCCTGAAATCGATCAAATCTTCGGCAAATTAACGATTTGGCGAAAATTTTTTTTGTTTGGCAAACGTATTGGCGAATGATATTTTCTAGCGAAAAGAAAAATATATATTCCTATCAATCCTAAAAAAATGAAAAAAAGGTCGAAGGCAATTTTTCTGAACAAATTCTGTGTTTTTTATTTGATTACAGTAATTTCTGTTCAATATGTTGCATAACCGATTATATTAAGTCTAGATAATGTAAGCAACATGAGAGATTATGTAAGTTTGAGGCAAACCACCATAAAATACTCACTACCACGTTCGTTATCGGATTATGCGATGTCATGTGACGAAATTTGTTTCAGCAGTTTGTGTCAATAAATCAGATTAAGTGGTGGCAAAACACATACTATCATCTAACTATTTTTTTGAAATTATGTCTTCTTGTGACAATAACATATACAATAACATAATGTTGCTTAAGGTTTATCCTTATATTTCAGCTCTAGTCTAAGAAGTTATCAAAAATTAACCCCAACCTATTCTTATTTCTTTTCTTTAAAGACAACACCTGCATTTTTCCTCCTCTCTTCAATTCATTAACAGCGAAATGACTTTTGATTTGAATTTGCATTTTATAAAATAATTCAATTTATAATAAATTTGTATTTTGATTTGAAGTTTTCTATTAGAAAAAATTAATCATAAAAAATTGTTAAAATTTGCCTTTGGCTAAGAATTTTGAAATTTGGCTTATTTCTGGCTAACATTTTGAAGTCCTTAGGACGTGCCCTGTATTTCAGTACGCATGTAACTTTGCATTGCTCATGAAACAAAAATTTTAATTTTCAGATGACTTCCTTTGGTATGTTATTCAGAAAAATGATTTATTAACTTCTAAATAATTCTGAACTGTGAATTTTTAAGAAGTAGAAATATTTTTTTAAATACTCAATTGTACTGAAAAATAAATTGTTCTATAATAATTATTTAATCATATCAGTACTTCTTACATTATAGCGATACCTTGTTGTGATTTTCGGCAAAAGTGACAGTTGACTTTTTTTTTATATATATTATTTATGTGTGTGGGGCCATTCAATATGTTATGCAAGCATATTTTTAGAACTTCTTAACTCCTCTTAAGGTGCAACAACCCTCTTTGTTTTTTTCTTTAACTTTTACCTTTTGAAGCAGGGTTCGTGATTTTTTTAAAAAAAATCAAAAGAATCAGATTTTTTTGATTTAAATCGGATTTTTTTGATTTAAATCGGATTTTTTTGATTTAAATCAGATTTTTTTTATTTCTATTCAAATACAGTGTAAGAACTTTAATTTACGATTAAAAAAATTATAAATGTTTAATCAAATTAAATTAATATTAAAACTATATTGTAACAATATTTTAGAAGCTCTAACTAAAATAATTTTTCATTATAATACATGGCTTTGAATGCATAGCAACCATTTTGAAACAAATGCATGATTAAAATTTAAGGACTAGATGAAATAGAGAATTTAAAGAATACTTCAGGGGTCTGTTTGGGTTTTTCTGAGAGGTACCTATTTTGTGAAAATTAAAAATTATATTAAAAAATATGGATTTATTGTTTCTTACGAGATGCTAAAATAAAATTTTAATAAAAAGTATTTTGTGTGATTATTCTATCATTTTTCCTAAAGTTGAATTTGTAAAGGTACCGGCTTGGACAGACCCCTGTGCTTTTAACTATTAAAACAAAGATTCAGTTAGCAAACCATAACTTTAATTTAAAATTGTGATTTCTTTTTTTTTCTCTCTTTATTTTTAAAATGACAAAATAAATGTAGCAGACTGTGTTTATAAATGTAGTCATTCATCAAAAAATAAATAAATATTTAATCTATATATTTTTATATTAAAATATTCATTTTTAATTCTATGTCAAAATAGATAAGTTAAGCTAAAAAAAAATTAGAAAATCTATGTACTCATTGGAATTTTTTTTCACAAAATTTCTTTATAGAAAATCAGATAATGTCAAAGATACTGTAAACATATTATGAGAAAAAAATACCAGTTAATAACCCTACTGCATCAAATAGACTTTGAAAGAGTTTGAAAGGGAAGAATGACACTATATTAGGAAAAAAACATCTGAATTCATCAGCCCTTTTTTTTTCTTTTTCTGTTTTTGGCATATTAGGGTAATTTCTTTTTAATATAACCTCAAGCTTCAGAAATATACATTTTCCACCAATAAAATATGATGTAGATTTTAATTCACGCTTTTTCATTCAAAAGGTAGAATTTTAATTAACATTATTTGTATTATTTTTTGAAAAAAATTCATGTTTATTAATTACTTTCTACAGCTATGCAAGTCTATATTAAGACAGCATTAAATGTTTACTTTAATCTGTACTTTCAATCTCAAGAATAAAAAGATTTTTAAAAATGTAATTTCAAATGTGTTGGAATTTAACACACACCTAGAAAGTAATTTCGTTAACTAAAATTAATTAATGCAGCATTTTATTTAAATTAAATTTTAATACTAAGAAAGGAAAATAATAATAAAAGTATCTAAAATTTAAAACACTGTTTTTTAACTTTTAAAATCAATATATACAGATTAAAAAAATTTGTTGATTTAAATCAATGATTTTTTTAAAAAAATCATTTGATTTAAATCATGATTTAAATCGTGATTTAAATCAAGTTGATTTAAATCAACGAACCCTGTTTTGAAGCAATCTAATTTTAAGAATTTCAAAATTAAAATGAAATAAAACATGTAACTATGTTTAAAACAAAATGTGTCTTTTAATTTATTTATAAAAATTTGAAACTTGTTTGATGAAATATTTTCCAACTTTTTCTTTCTCCAAATTTTTAGATTTCCAAATTTTCCGCTTTCAACTTTTTAAAAATTTTTTTGTTGCAATTATGTTCAGTGCAATTAAGTTTTTTTTTTTAATATAATGGAATTTTAGTGTAAATGAGCATTGGTCGTGCCGAGCATTGATCATACCCTTCCTCACCCTAGTAAGCATAAATAAGCAAATAACAACCCCTCCTCCTTCAGATGCCTACTTAATATTTGAATGGCCCTGTTGATATTTGATGATAATTAATTGTTAACTAATTTGCTTGTATAATTGCATATTTTTTAATAATTATAATATTTCTCAAGTTCTTAATTTTTAGAAAAAAAAATCCTTGAAAGTCCCCAATTTTTGTTTTGATGTAACATTAAGAACTCTGTTAAAGTAGACAGGCAATTAAATTATAAATTTTAACACTACTCAGTTTTAACTCTCAAGTTTTGGTTTGGTAATTGTGTTATCTTTTGAACTTTGTAATGCAATTTTTATTTTTATTTTGTATATGATTTTGAAAACAATGTGTAAATTTTATTTCTTTTTTAGAAAAAAGTGCTTTAAAACAAATAGGATTAATTTACTTTTTATTCCTATTCATCTACTCTGGTTTGGAATACTCATTGAGTTTCTTAACGCATATGCGCTTCAATTTCACAAGGTAAGGTTGACAATCTGAGTATATATTTAATTATGTTTTAAAAAACTGGTTTTATTACAAAGAGGTAAGCCAAAACTAATTATTTCTAATTTCTACTTATTTCAGTTCCAACTATGGATTTATTGAAAGTTTCAAAAAATAGTTACAGTAAAGTTCAGTTGACTAATTCTTTTTGTGTCTGGCAATTTATGTTTCTGATATATTTTTGCTGAATTTTTGAAAAACCTCTTATTTTTACTAGCTTTTTTGTAAGTTTAAAGCAAGCTTTGAACTTTTATTTCTTGATAAGATCTCTATGTTGAATGAATATTCTATGTTACATTCCACTGTGGAGAAAACCACAGAACCCCCACCTTCCTGGTAGAAATAGGTTTCTTCCAAGTTAAGTTGAGGAGGAAACTCTTTTTTGAAAATGAAATATCAGGCATTAATTATAATAGCAAGCATAATAAGTTGAAACAATTTATGCAGCCAAACCTCATTTGATCATTTCTCACAAATAAAAAAAGAATAAATAAACACAGAAAAAAATACATAATATTTTTTAATGATATCCGCCCCCCTATGATTACAAAAATATTTATACCTTTTTTAACAATATAAAATATGTATGAAAAAAAATTATGCACACTGCGGTATAATTATTAAGACAACATTATTCCAAGAAGCACGCCATACCTACAAATTCATGATTTAGAATGGTGAATTCTGTGGGGCAAATTCTATTCCACTTGGATAACATTCTTTTTAGTTTGCATCTTGAACTCTGTAATGAAATAAAATTTTTATTATGATTTTATCCTGTTTTTACTATCTACTTTGATTCGACCGAATCACAAACCGAACCATCTTTGCATCATATTTACACTAAGTATGAAAAATTGTAATTGAAAAAATTAAATACTTACTGCAAGATTATTTAAAATATGATTGAAAAATGAAAAAAAAAACACATTGACTTCTTTAATATTTTTAAAATATTTGTTTGAACTCACTCTTTTTTTTTCAACATCAGCAATAAATTTTAAACTTTTGTGACAGATTGATTCATCTTCTGTAAATTAGTGCCAATAAAAAAAATTTCTCATTGATTCAAAGGCTTTGGTACCTTGTATGATGGTGGAACTGTTAATGATTTTGTTGTTTCACTGCCTTCATCATTATCATTTGCACTTCTTCAGTTTCTACAATGTTTCCTATCAACATTGCACCACAAGTTTTACCATTTTCATTGTGTATAAATATTAAAAGGGATATTTTAGGCATTTTACCCAAATCCCCATGCTCTTTTTCTTCTCTAAACAGAATAAAAAAATTTTTTTTCTTTCATTTTGGTAAAATTTTTGAATGAGGGATGTGGGAATGTTCTAGTTTCAAAAACAATCTAAGTGAGTATTATTAACGGTATAACAATTGCATTTGTGACAAGACCATGAAAACAAGATGACACATTTGGGAAAACGAAAGAAGGTGGATAGATGGATCAAGGTTCGACTTTAATTGATGAAATCTGGTTTGTATAATAGTGTTAATTTTTTAGTCAAATAATAAATAATTTTTTAAGTTATTGAAATAAAAAAAAAATTGGATAGAAAAATAAATTTAATCTTGAAATTAAAGAAAATGAAAATTTCTTTCAATGTTTTACATAAAAGACTATAGTAAAACATTATTTTATAATTAAATAAAGAGTTTTTTTTTAAAGTATCATCATAAAAGTATGTATGCTACAAATCCAACCAGTCTTATGCTACAAATCTAACATTGTTGAGTTTCTATCAGTTTCTTCTGTTTTTTTCCCCTTTCTCCCAGTGTCTTGAAAAAAATTGGTTTCTTTTATAAGAAATCTCAGTCCTGCAATGAAATTTGGAAATGAAAGTATGCAATATAGACGTGGGCATTCAAAAAATACTATTAAAAAAAATACTATCAAGTTTATTACAGTCATTTCAAATTCATTATGTTCTGAATGAGCTTTATGAGCTTATCCTTTGCTGTTAGGGTTTGTCTGGAAGAAATTACTTAAGTATTATTAATTAAATAAGTTTATTACTAACAATATTTTAGAAACACTTTTAGCTTGGAATTTAAAATTATCTTAAAGAAATAGATAAAAATCTATGGATAAAAAGAAAATATACAGTTTTGAAGTATTGATAATCCTTGAATACCTTAAGATTGGTATTAGGAGAAATAAAATATCCATAAAGGATTTTAATAGTTGAACTTGCTGTCAAAATGATATTTATTGTTATTTTAAATCGAAAACCAAAATTAAACACCAGAGGAACTTTTAATTGGTGGAAGTTTTTCTTGTGTCCTATCAGATTAATGTTATTGAAAATTTGATGTATAAAAAATGCTATATATAAAAAACTGGAATTAACTATGTGCCTAATATAGTCAGTTAACTATCTATTATATAAATGGAAAACTTGTATTTTAAGTCTTTTTAAAGTGTCTAAAAATAAGGTAGTTTTGAGGTCTTGATACAATAATATACAGAACAGCTTTGTTATACTGTCCAACTGCGATTCATTGTTCACTTCTTTTGTTTTCCCAAATATATTATTCTGTTTTAATGATCCTATCATATATGTTAATAATAGCTATTTATATCATTTTTGATTCCTGTTCCTACCGTTCAGAAGTTCTATCTATTTTTAAGAAAATGGAAGTTATTTCATTTTTAGAAGGAGAAACAGTCAACTTCTGCTGTTAATAATGGTGAAGAAAATGAGAATTCTTTACAGTTGGGGAAAAGTGCTCCAAACAGCTCTTTTTGATGTTTATGCATCAATTGATTAAAATGTTGAAACTTGTAGAAACATGTTTAAGAAATGATTACAAAAGCTGAAGAAGTGAAAAGTTATACTGAAGGGAAAATAAGACCACAACCTGTGCCAACATTTGCAGAGAGTCAAAAAGCCTTGGAAATAATGAGGGACTCTTCGTATTCACAGTAACTTACAGAAAATGAACAGCAATCTGTAACAAATGTCACAAATTAATTGTTTGCATTGAGAAGAAAAAATGCATTCAAACTAAAACTTTCAATTACTTTCAATAAATAAAGGTGTTTTTTCATCTTTTTTTTTACATGGTAAATATTTTTGTCTACAGTACGTAATTTTTCTAATTACATTTTTTATACTTATTTTATATTATTGTATTTTTAAGTATATTGCTTTATTACTTTTCGATCACTTTCAAATCATTATTTGATGTTTTATGTTGACCTTCATTCGTCTTTTTCTCATGTATTTTTTACGATGAATGGTCGCATGAGAAATTACCAACCGAGGTTCTACCATAGTGAAATATAGTCAAAAATTTTATTCAGTGTTGTAGTAAAGTTAATAGTTTTTTTATTTAATATTTTTATATTTATTAATGATCAATAACTTTATTTCTTACAAGACTTTATTTCTAGCATGCAGCAAGGGAAGATGTTTTTATTTAGCGGCCTAATAATGATAGTTATTCAAGGTTAGTCTTTTTATTTAAAGTATTTGAAATATGGGTAAGCAATTAGATTTAGTTAATTGAAATATTTTTTTGACTGTAGGAGGCTATGTGAGGAGAATACCTCATGGAAAAGAAACCAGAGCTGCTGCTATTGTAAGTACTTATTCAGCTGTATACATATTTTGTTATACTAGATCCTATGAGTCAATTTTTTTTGTATTTAAAGCAGTTTTTTTCTAAATTAATTTTACTTTTAAATTTAGGATTCTGTTATAATTTATTGTACCAGCTCATTTAGTTAGTGATGTAGTGAGAATGTGCTTCTGTCTGGAGAAGCTTTTATATCCATAAATTGTCAATGTACAGCGATTTAAGTAGGAAAGCTTTTAAACAGTAAACAACTTTTAACTATAATTATTGAATAACGTCAATAAATTAATGAGAAAGGGAGAGAAGGATTATGTGGAAAATACTTACACTATATAAAAGTTTACTGGGTATTATTTTGATAAAGTTTAAAGCATGCCAGGGCCCATTGTGAGCCAAGTGGGTCATATATTTTACAGCTCCACGATTTTTTGATTAACAGCGTGATGGTGGTAATGTAGTTAGCATTCTGGACAGACCGCTTTTACTTATCAGACAAGCTGGATCGATCTGAAGCTGGCTGGGCTTCAAGCCATTGCTAGGGATCAAACCTCAGTCCTCCTCAGTGCCTTAACCTCTAGGCTATGTATTTTTTAAAATTAAAATTTGAAATTATGTGTCTATTTTAAATATTTTAACTTATATCTTTTATTATTCATAGCTGAAATAAGTGATTAAATTTTTGTAATTTTTATCAACTTCCCGTTTTTCTATTTTTCTTACTGAAGCTCTTTCTATTTTCGTATAATTGGAAAAATTGCTTTTTTTTTTATTCAACAAACATTTAAAATATCTGTGATTTTTTTAAATATCTGTAAAATTTATGTAAAAAACTTTTGTGTCTATTTACATGGTGTCTATTTTTGAATTAATGTTACTTTATTGCATTTTTTTTGGATCATTATATATCTGTTATATATATTTTTTTGATTAATAAGCAATTGATTTAATTTGTGTTGATGATTTCCAAGAGGGATTTAAACTGCAAACAACCCTTGACCTCCTTGAATGTGCTACAACAATCATAATATTTTTTAAAATTTTTTTCCAATTAACTTAACTTTTCTTCTTCTTGTCTTTAGCTTCTAGTTATTGAATTGTATGGTAAATAACTAATTCAATATTTTAGCACTTTGTCAAATCTCAAAAAGTAAAGCTCAAGCAGAGAAAAACTGTTTTCATCTTTGAGAATGACATACATTCTATTCAGTTTTTAAATTACAGACAACAATCAAACTAGTTACTTTAATTGACTTGTTCTCCTTCATTGTTAAAGATAGCTTTTACTATTATTTTTATTCAAAGAAGAAATACCTGATGCGTAGCAGTTTTAGAAAGTGCTTAAAGGTGCTTGTTTTTGATTTATATTTTTTAAAAACCCTCAAAGGTGCTTTTTTTTATTTGGGGATGGTAAAAAGTGCTTTATTTTCTATCTTTTAAAATTACAAAAAATGTCTGATTTTCACAATTTTCTCTGCAATATTTATCAGAAACTAGTTATTTTATGTGATTAAGATTATGTGAAGATAGCGAAAATGTTTTTGAAATTTATTGATTTTATTAAACGATAGAAAAAATAATTTTCATTACTACACAGACCCAAATAAAGATTTTTTTTTGGAAAGTGATTACAAATATTTTTTGAGTGCTTAAAAAGTAATTAAAAGGTGCTTATTTTTTGTTGAAAAATCTGGCTCTGCACCCTGTATCTGTTTTCTGTATTAAGAATTTAAGTAAACAGTACCTATGTTCATTATTTTAATATAATATTATAGCATTTGTGAAATTTATATTTTGATGACTTTTAATTTTTTATTAATTTTGGTAATTATTTTAATCCAACAAAGCTTGATTTATATATAATAATCTGATTTTAAAAACTCTTGCTCTCGTATTCACATCATATAAAGAAATATGGAGAAATATACTACATTAAATTTGGTAAGGGGAATAAATTTCAACATACGTTATTTCTCCATTTTTTTTTAATTAGTAAAAAGTGTTCTTAAATATTTTAATTTAAAACAGATTGGATTTTTTGAAATCATTTTTACATTTCTTCCAGGGTTGCCTTTTAGTCATTCCTTCTTTTATTATTATTGGAAATGCTAAGAGTGTTGAAGTACTTTATTTTGGACTAGCATTGTATGCATATGGTAAGTTTAAATATTATAATATAATTTTTTTTTTGCTTCTAAAATATTGACTTTACTTGATGCTTATGTTCTATTATGTATTGCTTTTCCCAGCTTCAATTTCTGTATTATCAACATCAATCTTTTATTTGTATCTTTCTTTTTCTTACATATAAGCAGGTCCCGCGCCAAACATTCGCCAAATGTGATAAAATCTTAAATTTGCGAATAAAATTGTGTTTTGGCGAATGATTTTTTTCACTGGAAAGAAATCAAAATTACGTCGAGATGAATTTTTCTAAACAAAGTAATGTTTTATTCGATTACAGTAATTTTCTGTAGATGCGCCACATAACCAATTAGAATCGGGTTCAAATGATATAAGCCTGATAAAATCTTAAGTTTGCGAATAAAATTGTGTTTTGGCGAAAGTATTGGCGAATGATTTTTTTCACTGGAAAGAAATTAAAATTACGTCGAGATGAATTTTTCTAAACAAAGTAATGTTTTATTCGATTACAGTAATTTTCGGTAGATGCGCCGCATAACCAATTAGAATCGGGTTCAAATGATATAAGCCTGATACAAAATGCTGTTAAATAGTTTTCCATAGGAAAAAATTTAACAGTGAAAAATTTTTAAGATTTGTATTTGGCGAAGACTTTTGAAAATTGGCAAATACTTTTCATATTTGGCTAATTTACTGGCTACTAATTTGAAATCCTTAGCGCAGGCCTTGGTAAGGTATATTATTCTATGATACTTAACATTACAAGTAATAAAACTGTCTATCTGAATAAAGTAAAAATAGAAGAACATTCTATAGTTTCAGTTTTATAAACAAAAGCCTTTCTCAATGTCTAAATACAAAATGATATTTTGCGATTCTACCCTGAGGAAGGTTCTTGTTTATAGAACAGAATGCCCATTTCTGTATTTTTGCTTCATTCATATTGTCATATTGTTTTGATTTATTCATGTTAATGACATTATTGACATTTTCTTCTAGCATCAGCAACTGTTGTTCCGTGTCTCACCACTATTGCATCCAAGTTTGGCTCTTCGAAGCAGAAAGGCATTGTACTTGGTATATTTCGGTCACTGGGATCTTTGGCAAGAGCTTTTGGTCCCATTGTTTCTGCTATTGGTATTTATCATATGTTTCTATATTTATCATTAAAATATTTGTTATAGTTAATTAACAACAAGTTGGTGGCTGTTTCATACAAGCTAACATAAAAGCATTATCTATAGTTTTTTGGGTAATTGTGCCATTCTGTAATATAAAATTCTTTTGACACAAACAATTTTTTGCTTAATTTTTTTAGCTCAATATTATATAATTATATTATTGATAAAAATTGATTATTATATTGCTTATTTTTCCTCAATGAAATGAGTAGAAAGTAAAACATTTGCTTTACTTTATGTTTGGAGAATTTTTATTTTTTTCAGCAATTTTATTTTTTATTACTTTTTTAAAATTGATATTAATTGTGTAGTAAAGTAGCTGTTTTTCATAATTTAAATTAATATTACTGAAAATTATTTATGAGTTATTTTAAAGAGAATTTTTTTTTCATCTTCCAACACCCCTGTTTTTTCACTATTTTCTTCAAAGTTTAGTTGCTGTCCCTGAAAATATCGTGATATATTGTTAAATATCGTTAGTTTTTGCCAATACCCATATTGTTTAAGTAATCAAAAAATGATTCTGTCTCTGAAAACACCCATATAATAGAAATATATATTTATACTTTATGTTTTTATATTTCAGCATATTGGAGTTTTTCGCCTGAAGTGTCCTACACAATTGGTGGTGTACTACTTGTTGTTCCTTTAATTTTAATCATGAAATTCAGATATGAATTACCACAAAAAGAAGAATGACTATCTGAATTGGAGATATGCATCAAATAAGAGAGATCTGATTACAATGAATCTTGGCACAATATTTATAAAATTATTTTTTTATACAATTTATACTTAAAAGGTTGTTGCTTACTTTTTTTTTTGAAAATTTATGAGCTTGGTTTTGGAAAATAAATATTATATTTAATTATTGTGTTTGCTCTTTTTATGTATTGTTCATTTACTATTATTGTTTCAGAGCAGTATTATTGTTATGCTTTATTCGATTTATAATTTATCAAACTAAGCCCATTTAAAAAAAAAATTTCATTTAACCCTAGATTTATAAACATTCATCTCACTAACCGTATTAAATATGTAAATTCTTGTAACTATTAGTGAAAAAGATAAAAACATCAACTTCACTGTACCTTCTTTGATTGTTAGATGAATGTCTATGAATAGTGTACTCATGTGCATGTTTATGAATCTAGGATTAAATATTTCTGCTACCAGAAATAAATGATGAATAAAAACATTTGATTACAATTTAAGAAAATCTATTTTTCGTATAAATTGAGTCAAATGTTTAGTTTTTATTAACCGTTCAAGTGAATGTCCAACAAAAGACACCAGAAATACTTTGTTTTTGCATGATTGATATTAAAATAAATGAGATAGCTGGTACAGATCAAGACATCACTAACATTAAGCATGCAGTGTTTTCGCTTCTTTTTCTTGGGCACTACAGCCTATGACAGGCCAATAAGTTTTTGCTATCTTGATCTATTCTGTGCCATGGCCTTCCAGGTAGTTATTCCTATTATCTTTAGGTCCCTCTCAACTGTGTCCAGCCAATTAGTCGGGGGACACCCCCTTTTCTTGTATCTTCTAGTTTAAAAAAAGTTACTTTTTTTGCGTGGTTTTGGTCTACAGATCTATAAAGGTGTACCAGCCATCGAATGCGATTGGCCTTAATAACATGAACTATAGTGTTTTCTCTATTCTAAATAAATTTTGGGCATGTAAGACTATATAAAATGAAACAAAAATAAAAATATTCAACTCAAATATAAAAACAGTACTTTTATACGAATCAAAAACATGGTACAGCTTAAAAACAAATCCAAATAAGTTACAGGCTTTTTTAAACTAATGTTTCAGAAGAATTCTTAATATAAAATGGTTTCACAAATTATTTAACACTGAATTATTCTAAATCAGTAGAATTTGAAATCAGAATGCGAATGGCGATAAATAGGACACATTAACAAAAAACTGGACGAATTTAAAGTAAAACAGGTGCTGGGCTGGACCTAAAATGACACATCACAGAACTATTATGAATCAATTAAAGACAATAGACAAAACAATGCAGAGAAATATAGTGCTTGGCCACCAACAGGGGGAGATGGTGAGTCGCAACTAAGGCTGTATGCTTCCCACGGAGTGAAGCATATTATTATTCTGAAAAATGAAGAAATGATTGAAAGTTATTGGGTGTCTTCCAAAATTTTCTATATTTCCTTATCTTTTTTGGTTGAATTTAGACTTTTGTAATGTAGTTAGATAACTTAATTAGTAATAAGCACCAATTAGTTATTGGCACTCTAAGAGGATAGGTTATACTTTGTGCTATGTTGACTAAAGCAAAAAGCATGAATAAATCACATATAAAAGCATGGAAATTAAAAGTATACATATTATAGTTTCAGTTCTATAAACAAGAATCTTTTTTAGTGTCTAAACACAAAATGGCAGTAGAAAGTAAAGAGACAAACATATGAAAAATGGTTTAAGCCGTAGGGACAGAGAAACAAACTTGGACAAGACAATAAGAGAGGGGAGGTAAGAAACAGGTGTGAGAGGAATAATAATTAGATCATTAACTAAATTATTAGAGTTTATAGATGTGTATAGGTTTGGTATAGTATATAGCATAGGTTTGATATGAAAGGTATAAGTATAGGTTTTCTTCTGTCAAAATCATTCAACACTGTTCTTCATCTATCGAGCTTAATTTCTGGGATTCATTAAATATTTGGGTGTTGGTATTCTGTAATCAACGCTTTTACTATACAGAATTATTTACAATCAGCACAGTGGTAATAAACTTAGGAAGGTGGCAAAACGCATATTGGGAATTACATAGAAACCATTTTTATAGAAATATTGTAAGCAATAGAGGTTCTTCTCTCTGGATTGTCAATTGGGATATAAATCTGGATTGGCTGTTCGAGAGCATTTAAAACAGTACTTTTATTTGTTTAAATTATCTTAACTTCGTGTTTTCTGATAATTATTGTCAAAAATTGTTTTCAAATAGGAGAAGATTCAGCTGTTTTATCCTGATTTATTCAGTGCAGAAAATTTAAAAAAAAATCCAGAGTGCAAAAAATTTAATTAGAATAGCTTTTCAAACATTGGGAAAGGATAGGAAACTAGAAAGTTCATTAACTAAATTTTTAGGGTTTTTGAAAATATGAAATGATTCCCAGATGTCATGGTTGGTAAATGAAGAGTAGTGTTGAATGATTTTAGCTGAAAATTCAAACCCGTGATTACAATTCCAACTATAAGGGCAACGGAATATTGTTTAATATCCTGATTTTGGACATATCTTTCATGTTTTTAAATCGAAATTTAAGGATATGCTTTGTTTATTAATATACTCAAAACCATATCCCACATTTGATAACAATTAATATCAGCAACAAGGTCCTTAAGGTTGTTGAAATTATTTTTTTTTACAGGGAAGAAAACGACTAAACTGAAATTTATTCAAAATCGTAGCAATTTAGGGACTGATTTTCGGATAATAAAGTAAAATACACAAATTGTTGAAGTTCGGATTCGAGAGTTTGTTGGATTGCATGATTTGTTTTCTATAGATGAAATCAAAGTTACTTTAGTTATTGATATATATTTCAACTCTAGCTAATGATTAGAGGTATAAGGTCTTATTATTGTTTCTTGGTTATCAACTCTTATTAATGATTAGTAGTTATGAGTTTTAAGAAATAATTTGTGGTTACAATTTCTTAATTAAGATTAGTATTTTATTTAATAAATAGTCGTTATTCAAATTTATTATTTATAGCAGCGATTTTTTCCCATTTAAATATTTCATTACATCCTAGTAGAGTTAAGTGTTAGTTGATCTTTCGCCAAGTAAAAGCCAAAGTTGAGTTTGCCTTAAACTCAAAGCAAAGATTTAATTTAGAATTATTGCAAAGAACCCTCTTATAACGCACCCGCATTTAACGACACTTCGGATTTCATGAGCGAAATGGAATGCTTTGAGGCAAGTCATATGGATATATTTAGTCTTAAAATTGTTTGTACCCTATTTGAGGATATTATAATAGTTTCAGGTAGTCTAAAAATGTTGCTATTGGCAACATTGGAGATTTTGTCAACGGTAGTTTTGATTAGTAAATTGTTTACCTCTAAACTTTCCATTGAGGAGTTACGTGCAAGGGCGCCGGCAGAGGGGTGCAAGGGGGTGCACTTGCACCCACCTGGCTTTTTTTTTAAAGCAAAGAGACACAGAAAAACAATTTTGTTACAAATTTTTTTTATTAAAAATATTTTAATTCAAAAACAAATAATTAAGTAATTATTGATACATAACAATTAAAAAATTGCTTAATCAAACAAGAATTGTAATCGTCTTGTTTGCTGTTCAAATCTGTTTATAACTCTTTTAATGAATTCTGAGCCATCGTTGATTCTTTTCTTATGCACACTGAGCATGCACAAACTTGGCAGATATCTAAGCTATGTTTTTAAATTTCATTTAATAAAATATAAATAATATTATATTTTCTATTAGTTATTTAGTTTAACAAAGGTGTATAACACAAACTGACTTCTCACAACTGTAAAACTTCATCAACACAATAAATACCAATGATAAGTGTAAGCGTGCACAAACACGTTAGTATACAAAACTACGGTTTGTAGTTATTTGTGTTTCAAAGTAAGTAGCTATGCCAGCGCCATCAATACAGTTTCCCGTGGCAAAATTTGCAAGTACAGGAAATTCGCACTTTTTAAAAAATAATATCTTGTTAACAATGAAGAAATGTATCTTGAAAAAAATTAACAGATGAAAGTATATGTAATAAAAAATAAAATGTAATAACGGAATGCATTAAAAAAAAAAAATTTCTGGGGGGGGGTAGTTTGCTAGAGGGTTGCACCCCCTTTCATATTATTCTGCCGGCGCCCTTGGTTACGTGATAATTCAGTTGCATAATAAAAATAAGATAATTGGTCTAATACTGCCTTTAGTATCTGGTTATCAATGTGTAATTTTTCTTTTGAAGGTGCATATTAACGTTTTCATAAACATAGCTTATAAAATTAAGCCCAATAGAAAAGAAATTCCAGTCTGCGAGTGGGCTGCCATCAGGAAAAAAATTCAACATATGGGGAGTGGGTGGTTATAAGCTATGTCAATCCTTCATCTATGAAAAGGTACCTTGCCATAGAATCAAGTTAACATGTCTTATATACTAGTGAATTGGAATTATATTTTTGTAGTGATATTTACACTACAGTAGTCCCCCTCCAGTATTATATCTGTGATAAAATTCGATGAACCGTTACCACTAGTAGTTTCATTGATGTTTTGTAAGAAGCCAGGAGAGCTGTATTAAGATAACGATACATTTTGAGTGCTGATTGTGTGAGCTGTATTAGGCTCAAGGTCGTGGTCCCTCCTGCGTTGCCTTTAGCAGTCGAGTGTATGCGTTGTGTGTGATCTAGACTGAGAAGCAACAACGCGAGGAAGACAATGTCGCAGTCACAAGTCAACTGTTCTATGTGGACCATCCATCGAAGTAGGCGTATTCAAATCGAAGTGGGAGTTTCTGTTTAGGTAGGCATGTTCACATCACGTCCGGGTCACCAATGTGGGGATAGTAATTAACGACCATGCCAACCTTCATCTATGAAAAGATTCCTCACCATAGAATCAAGTTAACATGTCTTTTATGCTTGTGAATTGGAATTATATTTTTGTAGTGGCAGATACACTACACCTTCCATGCTAATAAATTGAGGAAACATCTGTGTTCAGATTAGAGTTTGAATAAAAAGTGTAGCAATCAAAAGTTTCGAAACACGAAAAAAAAATTTTTTTTTTTCTTGTTTTACAAAGCTATTTTTTTTGATTCAAATTTGTAAAATAAATGTTTTCTTGC